TCCGTGTCTCTCCGTGAGAATGCACGTGGTACCCATCGGCTGAGTTTTTGAATTTTTCATACTGACTTCAGTCCATGGACTACCATCGGTTGGCTAACAGCAAGCTTAGCGAACAGCTCACGAGTGGTTTGGTTTGGGTTCGCCTCTACCTGCCCCGTAGTACGTCCAAATCCACAGTCGTTGGCCGCCCTGCCCTTCGATAGAATAATCGCCTTTCTTGAACTTGGCGAACAAGAGTAAAGCTCCATAGAAACATCCTGCAGGCGGAGGAGGATTCGTTAGGGCTAAGGCCAGAAAAGATCAGAAACAGCATTACGTTGCGGAGATGTTCTTCAGTGGGCGCGAATTCTGGTAGTATATTAGAAACAAAGCACTGTTCAAGCAAACGTTCAGAATTGTTTTGTGAACCGTACTTTCTCTATCAAACGGCTCTTCGAAGTGCCCGGGAGATCTAAAAGTTAGCGGGATAAACCTTTCTGGATGGAGACATCGCAGCAAATGTCGAGACTTCGAAATCAAGCGTCTTTACTACCATGGGCGTTACCAACGGAAGACGAATGTGGGGGTGATAAAGAGCTGTTCTACCGGATCGCAGTGCTGGCAGCGCTTCTCAGTGTCTTTTTCGTCTAACCAGTAGCTTCATGAATTTCCTGCTAGTGTTTAGCGGTCTGTTTGGTTTGCAGCTCACTGATTCAAGGTAAATGTTAATGCTTTGCCATTTGTGCAGCTTTTCTGGGATGCGCGGCACCTTCTACTCCCATTCAAAATCGCAATGCTTCTTTGAATGCGGTATATTGTGTACAGTGACTGGCGCGGCCCGGCCAGGTGGTGTACAGTTGATAGGTGTTGCTATCCTCCTCGACGAATCTAGAACCGACTTAAACAGGGAATGGAAGGCTCGCTGGTGCAGAGATTTTCGGGTTTGATCCTGGATCGAGCGCATGCTAAGCAGCGTCGCTTGTAACTGAGTCACCTCCGTTTTATAGTATCGGGCAAAGTCCTTATATTTCCTAACAAATTTGGATTCTGCCAATTGTCAATTGAGTCATCAATATTGCAGGTGGTCGCTATTTGATTATAACACTTGCTCAACGTCATATCGTCAAATGTTTTATAGAGTACTTCTCAATCACGTCAGTTTTTTTTACAGTTCATCTTTTTCATCTTCTATTGGGTTTGTCCAGAAAAATTTGGGTGCAGTTTTCCTGCGAAATCATCCTGAGGTTAAGAACGCTATGATATCAGCGGAAAGGTTATATATGGTCAATGCTGTCTGAATGGCCATATAGTCCACATCCGAGGTCAACGTGTCCCGGTGAAGTCTGCGTATTCGAATTTGTTTTTTTTACATTTACGCCTCTGCCTTTCACTCGTCTTGATTCTGGCCGCTCCCCCTGCCGCGCCCTTGTTCCCTCAGATATGGACTGTAGCACTAGTCTTTTAGAATGGAAAAAGAGTCAGCCTCAAACGGCGTTCGTACTTCGTCATCCGATCGCTTGGATCCAAGGTCTGACGAGGTCCTTTATCCGAGCGATTGGATCGCGAATAATGAACACGGACCATAAGACAAAAAGTTTCTAAGAACTTCAAAACTGTGATCTATTCTGTTTCGTAAGTGTCTCAGCAAAACATTTTCAGGCACCAATTTCTTCTACGGGTACAAGAAATAGAAAACAGGGCCTCGGGTTTTCCAATGCCAGTCTTTGTACTTATTGCTACTAAACTTCGAAATGTTATGAACGTTCCTATGGTGAGGAGCCAGTTTGGTGTTTTCCTTTTTCTCTTGTCGAATCATTTATCATTCGTATTTTGGGGAATCCTTCGAGAGAACCCTGTGCTATGCTTTTCATATGACGATATTTTCCCGATGGGGTCTGATTTCAATGGTGAGCCTCGGAGAAGTTGTGGTGGAACACCTGTCTCACCAGGGTCATCACACAGCCATACTTGTCTTTACCGCTCGCTATTTAACCTTTTCGAGGTACTGCACACATGTGTGACGTTATGGGTTCATCCTTTCCCCGTACAATTCGGTGGGATGTCTAGAAGTGTAGGTTCACCAGAAGAACTTCCATGTTCCCCTTTCCGGGTCTTTTCACCCCCATCAATGCTCTTTTCCTGCGCTCGTTACAGTGTCTGAATTTTGAAAG